ATTTGTCCTCTCCGTGATAAATACATATGTAGTATATATAAACACTTTGATTTTTACGGTTTGGTCCGGTTTCTTTTTCTAAATTTCGTTCGGTGATAATAGTTTAGCGATATTCATTTGTGACTTCGTAAACGACCTGGAGATTTCTTGGTCAGCACTCCTATCTCCTTTTGTTCGGTTAAGGAGCTGGTCGTTTCCTTTTTTGACATTTTATCCAATTCGGCCATCGCCTCTTGAATCGCATTTTCCAACGGTGTATCTAGTTTACGACCTCTAAAATTAAAAATGTCCAACAAAATTAGACAACTTCTAATACTTAATGTAATTCCCAGCAAATAACAATTGATTCGTCATAATTTTCTCCTATCCATGCATAAATTAATAAACAGCTGAGTAAGCACGGGTGATCTACCCCCGCAGCAATTAATGCCCAAGTTACTTCTACTGGTCCTTTCTCGTTGTCAAAACAATAAACTGATTTATAAGAATGATATTTTATGGGCAATTTCAAAAAAATTTTTTTTATAATGAAAATATTTTATGTTACGTTAAAAAATAATTATAAACAATGATACTTTACTACTAAATCAACGCAAATTCCAGTTTAATACTTTATAGGTAAATAGGAGAGGAATTTCGCATAGTTATTAAATTTCCACAGGTTTTGAATGAAATTAATAAATATATTCTATTGATCGTTAATCCCCTATTTTGTAATCAATTGTATAATTAAACCAATATTAGGGTTAAAGGGATTATATTTATTTAAATGCAGTACATTTTTAACTAGATAAAGCTAGCCTTGAGAAAGTACAACAACCTGGGCGAAACGTCGGCTGTGGTTTTTTAAATAATTAAAACACTTTCAACCCCACTACTGCTTTGGTGATATAACTGATAATTAAATATAATGTAACAGATGTGGCTACTTTTCTTAAGGGCAATACTGAGACCAAAATAACTCATAAAAAATAGCTTGTATTGGAAAAGTCTTTTCATTATAATTTATTGGCGCATGTGTAATTTCTTTTCAAATTTTTAAAACTTACTTAGTTTTCCACTTTTTTCATTACTATTATAGGTAATAAATAAAAATATAACCGCGTTTTGACTGGTTAGTTTTTATTTTTCTTTTTGTCATTTTTGGAACATTGTTGGGTAATGCCCAATTAATAATTTGATTGATTGATAGATCAGTGGATCATAAACACTGAATCTACTTCGCAATTTTCTCAAAAAAAAAAAAACTCATAGAAGCACTCACTTCCTGCAATTTTTTCGGGACTGATGGTAAGCATCTAAACCCTCGCTTAGGGTTTGTAATAAGTTAGGGTCCAACTCGGCCAAGGTCCTGTCCCCACCAAACCACTTCACCAAAACCTTATCGGGGGCTACTTCGATCAATTTTCCGGGCCACGCCGGACGACCCTTAGCAGGCCCCCAAACCAAATCGCCCGAATCGAATGAGCTGGGACCGATTTTTGATTTTTGTGGCGTTTTTTCGTCTATCAAGGGGAGAAGTGATACATCGAGCAATTATTTCTCGTTGTCATAAGAACAAACATGTGCACAGAAGCGATGATGTCAAGCCATGGTGCCGAAATTGAAGAAAATGATGAAAATTGCAGAAAAGCGTGAGAATAAACGAGGTTCCTATGGTCACCGTAGCTTTATGGAATCCCTTTATGAATAGTTAGAGTAAGGACGGAAAAAAAACAAAAAGAAAATGAAAAGCTTCACACCTCATTTAGAAATATATATAATACCTGTATACATATATATACAAAAGAAATGAATTTTAGTTGATGAAAATGTTTAAGCGAATTTCAACGCAGGGTTTGCCTCAAATAATAACAAAAGTTAGCCACACCAGTTAATATTATATTACAGAAATGTCTTTTTATTGTCATAAATGTATAATTCTTTCCTCTTTTAAATTACTCTTAAAATTAAAATACAACATAATAACAAACAAGTTTAACTCGCAATTCCTTGAGCTGCTGAAATCGTTTTGTAAGTCGTGTGTATCTCGCATTGTACATTAAAAATCCATAAACATATATTTGATCAGACAGAAATAATTAATAGGTACTATTACAAAACAAGTGAGAAAACATGCAAAAAATATAATATGCATATTGGGATCCGCCAAATGGGAGGAGCCTAAAACATGGCGCCGATTAGGGAAAACTTATCGTAGTTCCTATAGTGTACCGTGCAATTTCCAAGTTTTTAAATTACGATAAAATGATAAGTATTGACACAATATGTGATTGGGCTGACACAAAGCCTCGGAAAGGAAATTTCGTTGAAGGTGAGCGTGTTTTTAATTTTATAGTCACATTATAAAATTCGGAAATAACAAATCCGGAAGCTAGCCTTCAAATTCCGTCAAGTTTACTGCCTACTTTTTACAAACTTCGGATTTAAAAAGTGATTCCACGTTATATAATTGGTGAGGTGATTCTGGGTGATTTAAGCAATATCATATCAATGACTTGCACGCGCAAAGCCGATTTAAGAGAACGTTGCAAACACATTATTGCAACTTTGTCGTATTGCAGCAGGTAGGTTCTTAACCTCAAAATACTTATATTGTATCATTAGAATTGTGTTAAATCAACTACACAGGAATAAATAATTTCTCACTTTATAATTTTAGTGTGATTCTAGTTTTAAATATTAAGGTTATGGCTGATGCTAAATATTTGCTGAAATATAATCATGTGCATTAAAAAGACGTGAACAAATTTTTATTCCGGAATTCATTTCTTTGATACCTACTGCTTTCATCCAAGCTTCTATTAGTTTACTTTTTTCTCTAATTTTCCGAATATATTTTTTACATATATAAAACGGTTAGTTTTTATTGGAAAGTAGTTAATGTAGGTGAAGAGTGAAGATCTATGTCTGAAGTGCTATTGCAGCTTTTCACTGAACATATTAACTTTTTATTTGATTTAACTTTAGAAGAAAACTTCGTCGACTCCATCATCAAAAAAATTTTTACTTTTTTAACGTGTTTTATTATTTTAATAAACAATTTTACAATTTGCGTGCACAGTTCCTATGTAAATTTTTCCCTCATTCGAGTTATAAATTTTGCCACCAGATGGTGTATGCCCATTTGACGGATCCCAATAGTAATTCAGTTATTTTGGTAACTACCATTGGTTATTTTAAGCATTTTTTGTTTTGTATTTGTTTATTTCATATTGAGTGATTATATCTCTCGGAATCTGAAATATGTTCTTTCGTAGGCGAATATGGGTTTATTATCAACAAAAAAAATTGGTATCACCTTTCGCTTACATTTACAAATAAAATTTTCATATATTTTACTTTATGGAAGCCAATAAGAAATAGGCGAGATAGGTTGGTAGGACACCTTCTCAGGCATGAAGGTCTAGTCAGAGACATATTAGAGGCAGAAACAGGAGTTAGGAGGGGTAGAGGTAGACCTAGATTAGATTACTGTTCGCAAATAGTTAAGGATGTGGGCTGTTCTAGTTTTAGGGAAATGCGAAGTTTAGCTCAGGATAGGAAAGAGTGGAGGTACGTGTCCAACCAGTCTTAGGACTGATGACCTTATGATGATGAAACAATTTTACAATTTGCGTGCACAGTTCCTATGTAAATTTTTCCCTCATTCGAGTTATAAATTTTGCCACCAGATGGTGTATGCCCATTTGACGAATCCCAATAGGTATATTTGAAATAGATGCTGCTATTAAATATATCTTGTGACAACCACACAAAACATTTAGTTTACAATGTGCAGCTCAAAATTATTTCACAATCATGCAAAACAAAAACTACGGAACTAAAATATCAATAGACGACGATTTCTACAATTATGACAATAAAATTGAAGATGAAATGTGCAAAGCTGATACAATATAATAGGAACGGTTATGAAAAGCAAGTTAAGCGAAACTTCTACATTTGCAAAATACAGGAACGTCAACATGTGATTTAATTTTGTCTTGTCACTTCCGGTTGATCATCCGGGAAGTAACATGTCAATCGTATTTTCTGGTAATTTTCTTTCTTTCGGTTATAACACTTACGGGAAGCCAATTATAATTAGCAAAACTACTTAAAACAAGCAAGCAACATCTACACTATTCATCTGCATTATACGACGTTTCATTCCAACTCACCTTCATCATCTTCAAAGAGCGATGAATGCATCTGCCTGCTCTCCATTACGACCAGCGTGTCACTGTGTTTCCTCTTGTGCACGAACTTCTCGAAGTGTTTCGAATTAAACTGTAACTCTTCAGGCTTGACATCACCATGATCTGTGATATAGTGAATACCAGATATTGTAGTCGAAGACTCTGCGCACGCCATGTGTATAGGAGTATTCGACTTTTTGATGATATGTACATGGGTTCCAGTAGTGTTTGAAACGTCGGACATGTCCGATTTGGTTTGCATGTGATGATGATGATGATGTTGCTGGTTATTTGACCAGTCATTTTCGTAATTCGACAGGGTAATTTCGGCCGAGTCAGGCTCGCTACTCGAAATGCAGTGCACCATTGCCTTAAAGAACCGAAAGTTTTGGAGTTTCCTTCAAAATCCACAACTGAATCATAGCTTAGAATTGTGCATCATCATGAATGCAGAAACGTTTCAGTTTACAAAAGAATTTAGAAGAATCTGTAGTGACTAAGGAAGGCTTTCATGAGCTCTTATACCATAAGCAACTGAAGTTACCTTTATATCAACATTAATAATTTTAGAAGAAAATAGTTTACTAAATTGTGTTTTGGTCGACTTTCTAATACAGTTTACTTCTTTATGTTGTTTTTGCTTAATTTTCGTAAGGCACATTCTAAACTAAGCAATGAATGCAATTTGCCCAATTTTTAAATTATTCAAATTTAAAAATTATCATACGTACAATTTAGACATCTTTTTAGAAGCGAGTTTGTTTAATATGAAATATACTGAAAATTCAATTTCTGAATTTTTTACTCACTACACGCTACCTCAAATTGATGAGGGAAGAATTGTTGCTGTTGTCACACCCCCGCCGGGAATCGAACCCGGGACCTTTGGCTTTACACACAAATGTTCTGACCACTAAAGTACGAGAGGTGACAACAGCAACCACGACCAACCGACCTACAAGGTTAACGATCCGTCGAACTGATGTAACAAATTTTCCCTCATTAATTTGAGGTAGTAGCGTGTAGTGGGTAAAAAATTCAGAAATTGAATTTTCAGTATAATATTTCACATTAAAAATTATCACCATGTACAACTAAAATGTGTTAAAAAATCTGAAACGTCCTGTCAATCTAAGCCTTTTAGCAATTTCAAACAACTCACCATAGAACAAGACTGCTGTTTGGCTTGTAGGGTGACGATGTCACTGCATGAGCCTGAAGAATTAGAAGGGGTAGGTGACAAACCATCATCGGTGCTACCGGTGTGTGTCGTGGTGTCGGCAGCTGTTGGCAAGCTGCCGTGTTCGGTGGCGAGTGGACTGTGGGTGGTTGTATCCGGCGGACTACCAGCCGAAGTGGACGACGTTTGGCAAAACGTATTTGTGGTTACCGACTGATTTGTCTGATTTACGGCTGTCTGAGTGGACACGGAATGTCTACAATGTACGGACGATGCCTGAGGACTTTCACGATGAAGTAAAAGTGCTTGCACGCATTGCCTATTATCCGAAGCGTTTATAATAAATCCCGGATCCACGTTGAGCGTTGTCTGATGACCGCCTCTGACCTGAATGTTTTGATTTTGGGGATGGTTGTTACTTTGAATGTTCTGAAGCTGTTGGTTGTTAGAAACCATCGTAGTTTGTTGTTGAACAATCGTAGTATTTTGCTGTACGAACGTGGTATTTTGCTGATTTGGCGAAGAAACGCTGATGTTGGCCGTAGGTACCATTAATGTCTGTCCCATTTGTCCACACTGTATGAACTCCTGCTGGGCTTGCTGCGCTGAATTGTTTGATCTTATTTGTTGGGGCGTCGTATTGAAAGCTACTTGTTGGGTAGGACTAACGTTAGCCACTAAAGGGCTCAACTGTCCGCTAAATTGCGCCCCATTGACCACGAACTGATTTCCGTTTGGAGAAAGGAATTGCGCTCCTGGACTATGTTGTTGTTGGATGATTTTGTTTTGAGGCGTTCCAGGTGCACGAATAACCATTCCTGCTGGGCCTGCAGCAAGAATGCTTTGTCCACCGTTGAACATGTTGCTGTTTTGTACCGGTGTTAGTACGTTTTGGCCATTGACATTTTGCAACTGCAACTGCATACCGATGTTCGAAGTGTCTTGTAAGAGTGTCGCAGTTCCGTCTGCGTTCATTACCATGCTACCCAGATTGGGCAAGATGAATTGTTGAATGGCAGGGAAATTTTGAACCATCCCCGTCGTACCATTAAGCAGACTGACAGGTTGCAAAAGATTGAACTGCTGAGTTTGTTGGGAATTGATTATGGGTTGAGCCCCAAATTGACCACCATTTCCGACGGTTTGACCATTCATTACAATTTGAGGTGGACCGCCTGCTTTTCCAGGAACAATCGTAAGAGCTTGCATAACAGGACCCGTCGCGATACTTTGTGGACTGTGTGCCATTTGAATTTGTTGAGGGAAGTTTTGCTGGGGAACCATCATACCAGAATTTTGTTGTGACGCAATATGCAACATAGATGCGATGGTCTGTGATGGTAGTTTTCTTTTCTTACCTTTTCGTTTCGCCTCGGGTGAAAGCATAGCAGCATTTCTATTGATAATTCTGTTCGGGTCGGAACTATCGACCTGCAGTTGCTGTTGGATTACATTACCGGTTACTATTTGAGGAATTTGCATATTTTGTCCAACAGTCATTCCCTCCATGGTCATAGTGACGCCCGGTTGCAGTACAAAAGGCGTTGGTAGTGCGTTTACTAGTACGGTTTGTTGGCCCAGAACTTGCTGGGCTACTGCTGGGATAACCTGGGTCACGGCAGCAGTGACGTTTGTGATCATCGGTGAAACAGAAATCGGCGGCATAGCGTTAGCTTTAGGAGGTGGTGGAGGCATGACATTGGACTGTCCATTACTAGTATTGGCTATAATAAATTGACCACCAGAAGAAACCAGAACGTGGTTTGGTTGTTGCATATTATGGGCCGTTTTGATAACCTGCACCGGAGATATTTGTTGATTCTGTTGCAGACTTACCGGCAATGTGTTCTGATGCGTATGCGGAACTTGAATACTGCTCACGACGCTTTGCACCATTTCTAAAGGCGACTTGGTGACGTTTGTATTTGTACTCAAAAGTGTGGTCGTTGCGACGGACACTTGAGGATCGCTGTGATTTAAAGGAACATGAGATATAGTGGACAACGGTACATTGACGTTCACAGGGCTATTGACAGAAACTGTGGACGTATTAGCTCTACCCGCAAGAACCGACGTTATCGTGTTGCAACTGAAAGTACGTCCGCTAGCCATGGTCGTCACTAAGCCCGAATGCTGTAAAGAATCGTTAGACGAAACCCTAGCGAATGATTGCTGCTGGTGTTGTGAAGAACTGCCATACAATTCTTGTTTCGTTGACGTCGTTGGCGCACTGTTATTGTATAAAACGGACAAGTGGTGAAGTTGTGCCGCACTGGAGTTTTCAACGAACGATACGGGAGTGCCTGGATTGGACATATTGTGCACATTCGATTGGGAACACTCCAAACGGGGTTGCGGCGTTAGTGGATGAGGAGAAGGTGTGGGTGGATTAGATTGGTATCCTTCCGCAGGCGATACGTGACTCGTACTTATGGCACCTCCTTGTATGGGTCTCGAGTCAGGTGAATTTGCCGCACTCGATTGCCTATCCAAACAACTAGAAGACGTGACAGGATCGTCAACTATGTTAGAGGAACTAGGAGTGTTCGGCTCGCTGTTAGGCCGTGAGCCTTGTTTATGAACCTGAGGATGATGTTCTCTTATAATGTAAGAATTACAACTTTCGCTACTGTCGTCCTTTTGAGTGACAAAATGGATACCGCCTTCCGTGCATCCTTGACATTGAATGTGTTCATTCAAGGCGGTACTGTCCGCCGCTTCCCTGGCCATAACCGACGTTTGATTATACTGTTGATGGGTTTCTAAATGCTGAGGTACTTGAGAATTTCTTATGAAGCTCTGGCCGTTAGATGCGACGTAATTCTGCGCGTGTTTCATCTGCGAACCGAGTACCACCGTACTTGGCAAAGGCACTTCGTTAGGCTGCGAGCTGTTTGGTACAGTTTGTACGGATATATTTTGCACGGGACTCGTACAATTGAATCCAACACAATTAATTGCACCGGTTTGTCTAGATATTGTATTGTTGAGAAGTGCGGTCTGTTGCGCTAGATATCCACTCGGATCTTCCATAAAAGACGGACTCGAGGGAGTCTGATTCTGGTTCAAAATGATCGACTTGTTGTCGTTTTGGATCTGACGAATATCGATATTAGGACACGGTGTTTGAGACTCGACAAGCGGAATACGATGCTGATTATCGATTGTGTTGAACGACCTGCGTTTCGATGTTCGACTGATTTTAACTTTCTTCCTGTTTACATCGTCCTGCCAAACAAGCGAGGTCGGAGTATGCTGGTGTAATGGAGGAACCCTTTCGCAAACGTTTTGATTTTGGACATTCGAACAAGCGACAATGCTCGACTGGTTTTGATGAGGTGCCGCATTAATCTGTCGATTAGACCAGTTTATCTTTTGTTGTTGTTGTTGTTGCTGGGCAATCATGATGGGATTTGGCATGTTCACATTAATTTGATTCTGTTGATGAATCACACCTCCTTGCTGGTCTTGTCTCAATTGACACACAGCGTTCTCATTTATGAAAGGAATCCTAACGTTTTTGCTTCCATCAAACTGTTGCACGATGCTGTGATAATGAACGGCCTGGTTGGAAACAGGTTGTTGCTGTTGCTGTTGTTGTTGGTGAGAAAACCGGGAATGATTTTCCTGTTTTAATTGAGTTGGTACGTTGGAAGCGATTGGAAGCATTTGTACACTAGGCCTTCCAGGTCCGCTAGGTTCACCCTGTTGATTATTAATAAATACCTTTTGATTGGACTGATGGCCCGGAGCTGTATTACGACTATTTATAATGATACTATTAGGTCCATTAGAAATCACAGATCCACCGTTAACAACAGAATTAGAACCTTGCGGATGAGAGGTGCCCTGCTGTATGCTTAACACATGGCCGCCGGGAGCAATGAGATGATGCTGATGGTGCAAATGAACTTGACCGTTATTTTGGGAACCATTCGGATGCACGTGTACATTAGACTGTAATACTGAACTATTCTGCATCTGCTGAGGCATACTAGTTGCACCTGGGGGCAATGTCTGCAAGTGCGCGTCCCGAAACGGATTGTTTATTAGCCGATTACCGACGGATTCAACACTGGGATGCCTTAAATACTGGTTATTAAGGGAATCCGATGGACTAATTACGCCATCTGGGCACACACGATGTTGCGCATTCATTACAGAATTTGGCCATGGCTATTTAGACAAGAAAAAAAAACAGTGAAAATCCTGAAAACACACCACCTATGAAATCTCTACACTCCTACCTGTTGTAAGTTGGGCCTGTTTAGGGTTGGTTGATATAACGCCAACTTCTCTTTTTGCGCCAAAAGATGAGATATTGGAATACCGGAAAACGACCCTCCAATCTTTCTTTTCTTTCTTTTGACTGTTAAATCTGGAAAGAAAGAAAAACTATTGAATCTATTGCATTCCTTAACTGGTTAGTATCTAAAAGCAGCTACACTTCCTTGTTTACTATTACAATCTATAGCAAATTATCACGTGCTATTAATTGGATAAATTATTATTGCAATGTGCAGCGACATTGAAAATAATTAAGACATTTAAACGACATAAATTAATCTAGTTCTGACCTAGTTTTGTCTTTGTCATAAGGAAATAAATAATTCTTTGCATACATATGTAGATTGTACCTACATATGTCTCTTTTCCCAGTTTATCGGAGAATGAACGTAAAAGCCCTTGTAATTTTCATTCTGGATAAACCTGATAGTATGAAACCTCATTAATTAATAAGTGGGAAAGAGTTATTGTAGTTATGGTGTGTATGGTTATACTTAAATGGAAGGTCGGTAATATATGAAACTGTGGTTTCTAAATTGTTTTCGCCATGAGAAAATCGGATAAAGAGCCATTACGTTGACCAAAGAATCCACACACATTCGCTTATACAAAAGCATTATCAGATGCAATGGATAAAATAAATTCAGCTTTTCTACAAGAGTCGCGCATTCATGCCTCATTAACGTAATGGCAAGTTTATGAAGGCCGTCACTTATGAGCGGCTTTCGTGTGCATTTTCGTAATTTAAAACAATAAAATTATTGTTATTGCGATCGACGTATGAAATGAGTGCGCAACACTCCTTTAACATACGTAATAATTACCACAACTTTAGACGATTAAACAAGTTATTAATAATGTGAAAATTTATGATGGTTGTACGTCGGTAACTGTGGTGGAGTGGAAGACGATACGGCGGTTTTTTATCCACCAAGGGTATTTTCATATTTCGATCAAAGTTTCTAAAAAATGTTTGGAATTTCTTATAATTTTCTCCAGTAGATATGGTCAGTCAACCATCTGCTACCAAACACCTGTTTAGAATATCTGAGAATGTGCTTACTAGAATGTTTCTAGAAGGTTCTCAGATATCTAAAATTGTCCTCAAATAGAATGTTCTAGACCTGAAGAACGTTTGTGCTTAACGATCATTATGTTTGAGTATTGGAACTGGGTCTAACTTTTGGCAGTAGATTTCGACATATTTCTAGATTTCGACCAGTGTCTTAAAATATTTCTCCAGTCTCGTTTGCGTTTGGGTTTGCGAATTTTCCACCAAACACCCGTTCAGAATAAGTCAAAATATAAACCCAGTGAAGCAAGTTGTTGTTAGTGCAGAAATAAAAATGAAATAAATACATAAGAAATTCTAAATTTTGATGAACCTACAAAAAATTGTACAATTGTAAATCGATGAGATTCTGGTTTATGATAAACTCGTTAACAAATAATACTACCTACGTCATGAGCGCAAAGCCAAACGTCTTCTGATGGTATATATGGCACAAAAAGTCCAAAATAATAAGCAGTAATAAATAGCTGTGTCATAAGCTATCAAGACTACGGATTAACGATTTCCGATTATAACCCATTGATGATATTAAGTATACGATCTAGCAAGTAAGCAAGCAGTCAAGACAGTCGATCTCGTTAAATTTTACAGCGAACACACATTGACGTACGATATTATTGCCGTGACGGAGTATAGTTTTTGCGACTGGCCTGACAAGCGAGCACGTCGATTTCGGAAACATAAACCTGTCATAATACGGATCCGCGAGACAGGCTTAATGGCCGCTACGCGATTCCCGCAGAAGATACGGCGGGAGCGTGATCGCCGCTTTTCATGAAAATTTAATGCTTTTCGTCTTTGCGTCCTCAATTAAACCAACCGATCCGACCGCCTTCCAGATACGATCCGATCGCGTCTCGAACGTAAGACGAGATCGCCATCGGGATAAAACACATTACGTTACAAGGCCACCGCCAACGCTGCCGAACCAATTGCATCTTCTGAATGAAGTGCCACAATTCCTTGGCATCGGACTTCATTCTGGGATAGGGAGCATTCAAGTATTACGTAATGCAGTGTGAAGGAAGTATTGTATCCAAATGAACTTGTAAGCAAGACTAATTTCTAAGAAAGATAACATCCAAAGTTACACAGTATACTGCTTCTTAAAAAGCGATTTTGTGAAGGGACTGAGAACACAAAGTCAAAATCAAGGTCAAGCTCAGGGATATTCTTAAAATCTGTAGAACTGCGATCCATAATGGGAGACGCTAATGGTAGAATGTGAATTTTCGGATTGTATGAAGAAAGAAGAAAAGAAGAAAAGTTTGAAGTAGGTAAAACCGATAAGGCTTATAATATATACAGTAGTAATAATATAAGAAACGAGTTAGGGGTCATTTTGATAGAAAATAAGGAAAAGGCAGATAGGTAGAAAGAATATTTAGGGAACCTATACTCAAGCCATGAGTTAGGAGATATATTAGAGAAGGAAGATGGTGTGGAGATAGATGAGCTAGATTATCCCATAAAGAGTTCGATCAGGCATTAAAAAAAGAATAATAAGGCGCCAGGTGTAGATGGGCTACAGGGGGATGTTCTAAATCATGCAGGACAATAGGTTAGAGATGGTATGTTTAACCATACCTAAAAAAAGAGGCGCGGATAGGTGCGAGACATTTAGAACAATTAGCTTAACTTTCCATGTGTTAAAAAACTTAACTAGAATTGTACAGAGAAGGATGGAAAAAAGGGCGGAAGATCAATTTGGGTTCAGAAGAAAAGGTTAGAAGCGTTCGAAATGTGGTGTTACAGGCGAATGATGATGACATCGTAGATACAGAAGGTTAGAAATGATGAGGTATTAGAAAGAAAAGGAGCACAGAGGACTCTTTGGAAGTCAATAAGAAATAGATGAGATAAGTTAGTAGGACACCTTCTCAGGCATGAAGGTCTAATCAGAGACATATTAGAGGCAGAAACAGAAGTTAGGAGGGTGGAGTAGACCTAGATTAAAACACTGTTCGCAAATAGTTGGGGATGTTCTAGTTTTACGGAAATGCGAAGATTAGCTCAGGATAGGAAAGAGTGGAGGTGCGTGTTCAACCAGTTTGAGGACTGACAGCCTTATGATGATGATGAAATCCCCATGATGTCAAAGAATTTGACCTGTTCGATGTAAGAACTCCCTTGGATTGACTGAACTGCTATGGTCATGGTCCAAAACAAAATTATTGTCCTTACAGCCGACCAACTGAATATTTTCAAAAACGGAGTTCTTTAGCATGACATAAATCCACAAATTCTTTATTTTGAGCAAACGAACCAACTTCACTTACCGTCAGCCAAAACGCTTAGAATGTGTTTATTATAATTCAGTTGTAGAACATACAATACACAATAACAACATTAATAACCCACATATGTTTGTTTTTTTTCCTTTCGATATAAAACATGAGAACACTTGCTATCGCCGTCCATGCGGATAAAAAAAACAACGTCGCAACACATTATTACAGATTATCAGTGTGGTTCTTGTGTAGGCGTTTATCATCGCTGAATAAACACTACAAATTAGTATTTAATTACTGACGTCCGCAATTTAGCTCTTTTTTTTTTATTTATCTGGTTGTCACAATATGTAGCAGGTGGTTCTTGCTGTTGTTATTACAGTACAGTGTAATGCATGACATCCTGGCAATAACGCCAACAAATTAATTTCTATTTATAAATGTCCTTCTTTTCTTGCGTCATTTGAAAATTCTTAGACCATTGTCTACTACTACACAGAGATCTGATTTTCTCTTTATGTCTCTTATCACCTTTAAGATTACCTATTGATCGCGATAAACTGTACAATCTTGCATAGAATGCAATTGTGAAATCACAGTACAAATATCTCTATGCTTGCTAAGGCATTTGAATCGTCCTCGTATATAACCGTTCAGCGCACATAAAATTGATTTATGACCGCCTGCAAAAAAGCAGGAATAAAAGAGTGAATATACTCACAGCCGTCTCTAATACAAGCCATGCTGAGAAGTTTGGCAACAGCGCATTACTTCGATGTGAGAGTCCTATTCTGCGAGTCTTACTTGTTATTACTACGTCGTTACACATGATTTTTAGACACCCATTATGATAAAAATGAATTAAATTATTAAATAACTAACATTTAATCATCAGTGACAGTATGTGATGTTATTTAAAACACACTTCAACATGTAGGTATAGAGCACAAAATAGAAAAGACAATAGATTAGGTAAATAGTGATATGTACCTATATGAATTTCATCTCGATAATTGTAATTTTATTAAGGCAAATTTCCACACCATCATTGAGGTATTGCCAAGGCGCGTTACCTTTTTTTGGGGTTCGCCAATAGCCCTGCCATGCCATTAGAAAAAATTAATTACAATTTGAACTTTTCTAATTTACAGATTTTTGCTGTCTTACAGTAAGCTGAATTTGAATTGGGGTGGCGGGACTCTTGCTATAATTTATAATTTTAACGTAATCATTAAGCAAAACATTAGCAAAAGAAGATAAAATTTGGAAGAGTATATCTTTATGCTTTCCATAACTACATATTTTTGAAAATGGTTAATTTTCCTAAAATTGGTTTTTGGTGTTCAGCCCGTAAACATTGCGTCTGCCGATTTTCGTTATTACTTATTTCTTCAAGAATGACATAAATGTGAAAAAAAAAACACACTATAAGCATCCTTATTGCATATTTATTGCACGATATTTCCGCTAAAATTAAAATATTATAAAACAACGAAAGAAACACAACAACCAATGTATTAGTTGTAATTCTCATTAACTGGGAAATCCTGGGACTCCTACAGTGTTGCCAAGTAAACCTTCAGCACGGCTTGTAAGTAGAGACGGCTGTGATATAGTGTATATGTTCGTATGTATGTAAGTATGTAGAATATCTGTATATGTACGTACTATGCCTAACTATCAATGGCGTGCTGATGAGGACTAATGATTCCAAAATCGCAATTTACGCCTAGTTTTGGTAAATTATAGATCAAGAACTTAATGTTCTGTACTACAAAACACCATGAA